GAAAAAAAAACTATGGCCAAGAACTGTAGTTCAGTCTTAAAGCATCTTGGAAGTAGGGCTCTTAAAATTAAGCCCACAGAGAATAAGGAGCTCAAAGGCAGATAGGCTACGGGTAAGTCAGGTGACAAATTCTGGGGGACCAAAGGAGAAGAGAGATTGTCAGCCCTGGTGAATGGAGGAAGAAATCCCATCAGAGGACTAACTCTGTGGGAAGAGAGGTGGTTTGTTCAGCCACTACTATCGTCCATGAGAGTCCATAAATCCCTGCTTTGGAGACTGAAACCCATAGTGCTTGTTGCCTAAATGTCACTAGACTACACTGGCTTGTCAGTGAAGTTCTTCAGTTGTCTTGCTGTTGATTTCCTTGGGGCTTATGTGAATCCAAGGAAAAAAAAGCAGAGAAAGCAAAACAGTGATTTTCTTTGAGACAGAGTGGAGGAGTGTGATTTGCATATTAATAAGGGTTTGTATTGTTTATTAAAAAGGGCTGTTCATCTGAAATGGGCTGCATGTTAAATTCACTAAAATGGAAAATCAAGAGACAAAGCTGGGCCTGAGAGAGAACTGAAACTTGGGGAGTTTCCTCAAAAGCAGCATTTCTTCTGAGGAATTTATCTGCATGTAAACTCATTAAATATCTTCTGCTGAGATTCTGGATCTTGAATCCAATTATCTGTATCAAGCCTTCAGGACCTGAAAAGCCACTTTCTCAGGAAACGGAGAAGCGCAAACATACAAAATAACCCAGCACAACTCAGAATAACATCTGATGATGCTTGAATTGTAAATCACATAACCCAATACTGCACTGCAATCGCTGGACATCACATAAAGCAATGTATTACTGCTCACTGGAACTTTATTGTGAGAAATCTGATCAAAGAGGTATAAATGTGTGGCAGATTGCATTGCTATCTCTTTTGCTCCTGAATGGAATGGGAAGAAGTTTCTTCTCAGCCTCAGGTCAGAAGTAACTATTAAGTCACTTGCTGTGTAACAGGCCACAGATTGTACTTTTCTCCCCTTGTAGGCTGCGGGGTAGGAAAACAGTGATGTTGTCCCTCATACTCTCCTTTCAGATCATTCCTTTTGTTGAGGAACAAGACAATTATTTTTTTATTCCCAAGTGGTCTAAGTAATCATAGAAAAGTCTCAATCTATTTTAGTAAAATGCCGTCGATTACTAATATTGAAGTAAAATAAGCTCTCTAATGAAATCAGCTAGAAAGGTATGCACTTACGGTGGCATACTTAGTCATAAATTCTGTAATGGAATGGTTTGGAACAGTTTCAAGTCTGCTGATGTGGAAATTGAGAACTAAACAGGTAACCAGTTTACAGAAATCAAGCAATGCTCCCCACCCCCAAAAATAAAGGGCCAAGAGAAATGAGTGGTAAGGAATGAAAGAGTTAAGAGGCAGCATTAGGTCAGTGATCGTACCACCCAGGTATGAGTTATCTGAATTCCTCTAGACTGGTCTTGGATTCTGTTCCCGCAGGTGAACCTCTTCTGTTCCTTCTTAAGTTACTTTCAAAAGTGAAGCACACAAAGTAGAAATGTTGTTTTCAAAATCAGAACTCAATCAGAAAACTGATTTCTACTCTAATAACAAAAAAATTTGTTAAAAATTTGAAGTTACTGTGCCAAAACTAACTGTACTGAACGTTTCCTTCCACCCAGCCCTCTCTTAAGGCTTGACTCTTTTCCCAGCTCCCTTTTCAAAACAGGTGTATAATTTTGACCCTGTGTGCAACTAGCTGTCTGTCTTGTTCACTATGCACGTAACCTGGCTTATTATAACCTTGATTTGAAACCATATCAAATCCCTTTTTTATTTATTCATAATTTTTCTTAGGATCAGTTCCATAAAATCCTTTCGTGTACAGCACAATCACAGTTAAGTCTTGTCTAAGGAATTCCCTGGCTGCTATATCAATTGGTTCATTGCCCTGAAAACTGAAGTGCTTATATGAAACACACCTCCATTTTTGACATACAAAAAACATTACCAAAAAAGTGAACACAAATATACCACCTGGCAAATCAAATCCTCACTGAAGCCTTAACTATGAGAGAAGAATTTTTTCTAAGGCACTAAAATTTCAGTCTTTTCCTCAAAGGAGAATTTTGATTCAACCATTTTAGCAACCTCTCTGAAACAGACTAACCAGAACTAGAACAAATCCTGTTCTTGTAACATGATACAAGGCTATCCCTGCTTGACACCAGCAGGATAATACTTGTGAGTGTGGTGAGAACATCACATTACTGATACAGCATCTCCCAGGCCATCGGTGCCTCCATTTTATTAACAATCAGACATTTGCTTTATCCTAAGCTGGTACAAAAAAACAGTTGTATTCTGAGAATTGCTAAAAATATTAAATATTCTGAAACTCCTGGCTTTGTCCCACTGGCAACTTCCACGTAATTTTGTTCTTGACTTTCATATTATGTCGTACTGTAATTTATAAATAATCTGTAACATGTCAGCCTTTTCATAAACAGCAGAATCCATTTTTTCATATCAAAATGAAAAACCTCAATGCATTTCTGTTTAAAAAAATAATCTACATATTACGCTGAAATTTGGGCCAGAGTTGGAAGCATTACTGTCCTTCAGTAAGTAACAATACTCCCATTTTATCATATCTCTAATGAAGCTTACATTGGTTCCGATGTCTGTGCACGTGTACCACCAGAATCTCAGTGGGAAGTACAGAGCAAATTCACAGAATCACAGAATGGTTTGGGCAGGAAGGCACCTTATAGATCTGCTTTTTCCCCCCCCCCTGCCACGGCCAGGGACCCCTTCCACCAGACCAGGGTGTTCCAAGCACCGTCCAACATGGCCTTGGACACTGCCAGGGAGGCGGCAGCCACAGCTTCTCTGGGCAGCCTGGCCAGGGCCTCAACACCCTCATGGGGAAGAACTTTTTCTTTGTATCTGATCTAACTCTAGCCTCTTCCTAACATCTCATGCCTCTTCCAGCAGAAATCTCATTTGTGAAGACAACAGGAGAAGATAAATCATCTTGGAATAACCTTTTGTTAGAGTCTCTGCTTGTTCTGAAATGGTAAGTCACAATGCCTTTTCATCTGCATTGTTCTGTATTACAGATTGCACAAAAGAGAACCGCCTGCATAGAATAAGCATGAAAATCTTTAAAATACTATTTTAAGCACCCCCACATAAGGGAAGCAACACAGCAACATTATGAACTAATGACTACTTTCAAGAATGCTAACAGGTTCAAGATGTTTTATTTATAAAATAATTTTAGAATTGAAAAGTATCAACCCTCCAGTTGGATAAACAGAACTGATAACTTAGTTATTTGAGGACTGTCCTCAAACTTCCATACTGTGAATACATTCTTTAGCGAAAGAAAAATCATTATGTATTATCATTGGGATCAGTTTGTTTTCTGAAATGCTTTGAATGGCAACTTAGGAACCAAGTAGGTCTCAAAAATTTTTTTTGGTGCTGTACTCTAATATTTGTCTGTACTCCTATTTTTTACTAAGTATAATTATTTTAGGAAACAAGAATGAAGTAGCAGAAAATAATTTTAAGAACCATGCATGTAAAATGTCCCTAACTACGCCATTCATATAAGCAAGAGATTATTAAAAGTTCAACATGCTTGAGATCTAAAATCTGCTTGCATTGTTTAGATTTGTTAACTTCCTGCATATTTTCATTGACATGCAACAGTTTCAATTCTGCTTCTGAGCACTGGGTCAGCAAGCACAAATGGACATGCTTGAATGTTTTTCAAATTCATAGTCGTAAATAATTTCTTGCAAACTACTTTGACATATACATGCATTAGAACAATGCTTCCATATCTGAGTTGCGAAAACTTGCAGAAACATTTACTGAAATTAAGCTTTTTACTACTATAAAAACCTTGTGCAAATTTTATCTCCAAACATAACTTAGATACAGTACAAAAAAGGGAGGATATGCTCACTGATTAGCATCTGTCAGCAGTATTTCTATATGTACACATACCTCAGACAGCAGTCTCCACCCATTTGCAGAGCATCATTTTGTCAAGATTGTTTCCTGCCTCCACTTCTAATCTATATGGACTAGCCAAGAAGTCCAGGTGCCTGAGCCATAGCTACACACAATATCTAACCCAGAATGACTCTGGTTACGTATCTCGGCTTGTTAAGATATACTTTCCAAATCTGGGTAAACAGATGAGGTTTGGTCAGAAATAGAGGTTAATAAACTAGTCAGCTGTGGCAGTCACTTTTCAACACAAAATCCTCATGCTGATTTTATATGAGTAAGATAGTCTTTGATAACCTATCATTTCCATCTGATCCAATGTCCTTGGAGATTTACTGATGATGTATTAAAATAATTGTTGACATTTTGTTTTCTAATTAATGTATTTGAGGAGATACCCAGTAAAAAAAATCTTCTTATGTGTGCCAATATGCTGTAGATAACATAGAAACTAGATTACTTTCTGAACACATCTGTCTGCCTGTCCCATGCTGAGATATGTATCTCACAGTTCCTTTCATTTCATAATATAAAGCAGCTCATTCATCCTTTCCTACCCCTTAACGTGATGGCACCGCAATCTTACCCTCGTTTAGATGAATAAAAGAAGATCCTGGCCAACCTGAACAACACTTTTAGAACAGAACTTTTAAAATGCCACGCAGGGTGAACACCGAATTCAGTTATAAACATGGAGTTTCTAAGTGAGATGCTACTCTTCCAGGCAGCAGAGTTTCAAGTAACAGGTAACATGAAAATGAAAATATATGCTAGAAGACATCTAAAAATGCATGGTGGTTGCTCTCTCTCCAGCAGTGATGAAATTGTGTGATTTGCAAAGTACTACATTGTTGTTATTCTGCCTCAGAGCTGACAGAGATAAAAGTCTAAATGTGTTAGAAATGTAAAATATAGCAAATGTTTGTAAGTCTACTAACTTCTTGTTTTTATACCAGAACATGTCAGAACACATACCTTTCTTCCCCCTGTGTTTATGCGAAGTGGAGTTAAGAAGGGATCAAAAATCATATGGCTGGTTTCTATATTGACAGGTGACTGTCTTTTCCCAACAGAGCAAAGATTCCAAGCCGAGTTCACCAAACCCCAAAAGGAGGGAACTGCAAAATACAAAAAAGTGCAAGCTTAAGAAAAGTCTGGAAAGACTAGAGAAATACATGCAAGACAGACAGTCAGATAACTGAACTTGTCATACTGTCCAGATACACACACTGAAAGTGAAAACAGGCAAAGTCATCTAGCACTTGAATTTAAAACTTCATACACAAAGACGAAAATATATTGTTTCATATATTTTTGTATCAGGAAAGAAGGTAATATTTTTCTTCTCTTTTGAAGGTACCTAGATTTAATCCCGAATTCTATTACAAATAGCTCATTTGTTGTTAGTGTTATAGAATATCTATTGAGCAATACGAAAGTGACTCATTAGGCCTCATGCTAATTTTGCATACATACAATGTGTCCTCAGACTGAAACCTTTCCATTCTACTCAACTTTTTAAAAAGTGTTCATATTTAGTAGAATCCTTTAAAATAAACAGCATTATTACAAGCGAAGCTCACACATTGTGATCCCAGAGAACAGGCCCGCTCTCTAGACAGGTTCTCCTAATTTCTGTTCCAATCACCCAAATCTTTCATTAGTCAAAATTTTGACCTAAAACACCAATCTTGTTGGAAAAGCCATACTCTGATGTTGAAGAAGGACAGTTCCTTCCCTGTACATGTAATAGCTTGGAACATAGAGGAACACCTATTTTTTGATAAGCTGAGTTACTTTCAAAGCTTCTGTGCCCCTAATTGGAAAAAGAAGAAAAATGGGATGTAACTATACACTGTTTCTCACCAGATAACTGCAGGCTGGAGGTTCATATTGCATCTAATCTGCAATTTATAGACAAGATCAACCTGAACTTCTCTTCACATGCTGCAAAAATTTCTGACTAAACAAGTATAGAGCAACTAACAAGACACACAAAGGACACATTTAAATTTGTGTCTACACACCTTTCTCGTGTCTCAAATATATACGGCAACTTTGACTTTATCAGAATTGTTCTGCAGTTTTGTGTAGTAGGTGGAAATCTCACAGGTGCAAATGTTGATGCCTTCTTTGGCTTTACTTTTTCTGTTTAGATTTTGTTAAAAGTTTTCATAACCTTTGAGCCTCAAAGCATTTCTTCTAATCTACAAACTGTCTGTGACAAAGTCTACAAACCCAGGCTGGGGGAAGGAGAATGTGGCTGAGTCCTTGGGGCAGGAGCACAGGTGTTTTGCCAGAGGGTGGAGCTGAAAACCACCCACCAGCTGCCTATAAAAAGCTTTTCAGTTGCTGTAGTTACCTGCATGCAGGTTTTTGCAGTGTGGGTGCTTGCTTCTGCTTGCAGTTTTAGGCTACTCTAGTGGGAGCCATATAGAGTGTTGCTTGGATTTGAAACTCAGATTTGCAGTAGATTTAACCCATTGGAAGATACTGCTTGGAGGGGAGACAGGTGGAAAATACCTTCCGAGTGTGTAGCCTCAGGAAAATGGCTGATGTGGGTGAGTGTTTTCCTATCATATTTTACAGAACAACTCAGTTCTTTTTGCCCTCGGAGTTTGAGTGTACTTAGGTGTAAAACTTTGGTTGGGTTAATACATAGCTTCATGGAACATTTTTACAAAAGTAGAAAAAATTTAGGGCTCTTCTTAGGCTATTGCTTGCACAGCAGAACTTCAGCATGAGTATAAAGTCCATCACAGAAGTAGTTTTGTAGTTGTTGAGTATCTGCCTGCTCCAGTAGTTCATAAGCTATTGTCCACAGATGTTACTTCTATTGCAAAATATCTGAAAACTCAATTTTCAGGTGAATCTTTGTCTCTTCTGTGCTTGCCTGTCTATGCATCTACAGGTGCTACTCATGCAGGTGAGCTCAGACAGCCCTGAAGGGATCCAAGTGGTATGGCCATAATTGACATGTTATGGCTGGCAAAGCTTCAAGTTTCCTTGTATTCCCTAGTTGAACAGCTTTGAAGTGAACATGCACTACTAATATCTTAAATTCAGAGGTGAAATATCTTTTCTTAACACCTGACACAGACAATCAAACCAGCTCACATGTAAAGCCAGAAATGGGTAACTGCTCTTAGTACATACTGCATGAAATCTATAAGGAGGGATGACAGTGTAATGGCTCTGGGAAAGCAAAGATCAGGAAACAGCATCCAAAATGGCTGGTATTGCAGATACCTGCATCAAATTGTCAGTAATCTTTTATTTGAATAATAAACCCTGGGTGTAACCATGCTGTAGGAGGTCAAATGGAAGCCCTTTAAAATAAGCGAAGCTTTGTGTGATCAGAAAAATAAACAGGCAGTATGGTCTTAAAAATTTATTTGGCTCCTCTGTTTACCCTGCCACTCAATTCCTACTTCCACTGGGGACTTACAAGACTATAGAAGTTCCCGGAGGTTGCTAAATGATAGTGCTAATGCTTTGAAATTGAATAAAATAAATGTAGTGCAATTAAAAATAAAACAGAGCACACTTAATTATTTATGCTTTTTTAAGAGAAATACCATAGGATCTCACTTCAGTTTTTGTCAGAGAGAAAACCCCTCTCTATGCAGATGTCTAAAGCAAAAGTTTATGTTAATTGAGATAACCTGGTTTCCCTCCATAAATCCCCCTGTGCTGCTGTTTAAAAAAAAAATTAATGATGAAACTGTGGAGCTGTACATTCAAGAGGGAAAATTAAAATTATTAAAAGGGAAATCTGTTGCTTGAATGTTTCTACTGTTACTAAAAAAATCTTCTGGATAGAAATACTCTTGGTATTAGTAAAAACAAAATTATTCAGCAAGCTTTTAAAAGTTAAATACACTAGACATTGTAAGTGCAATAAAATAGCGAGCCAAACAGAGCAGTCCATTATCTTCAAGTTCATAATACTTAAAGAATTTATGATGTAGCTGGGATTGTTCCAGAAAAGCTGCACTGGGAAACAGCTGCTGTGAGGGGATGTTTTATAACATTATTTCTGTTTTTGACAGGGAAACCTTGCATTCTGTACAATGCTTGTCACACCAGCCCACCACCAGAAAGTCAAGAAGGTGGAGCTCCAATATCGTGATGTTGCACTGCAGAGGTTAGACTTGTCACCCAAACACGTAAGTCTCTGTTGCAGTCTTTTATTTCTTTCTAAATGCCTAGGAAGCTCATGCTGAAGAATCTCTCCAATATGTGCTTGTTGCTAGCTGTCATCTATGGTTAGAGAAAAAGTAAGTGCAGGAATGGTAAACTCGCCCCAGTGATGGCACAGAATGGCTGTGCTTATGCTTCAACTGAAGGTTAATTAAGGACAACTGATCTAGGGCTGCACACCTAAGTTAACTGGTGGATGGGGATATTATGCAATATTAATATCTGATTACATTTAATTAAAGTAATTAGTGCTGCTGCTTAGATACTCAAAGTAATAGGAAAGTATTCAGAACTGTAACGGAAAAATCCAAGGAGGTTTCATCCAGGAAACCAAGGCTTAAACTAAACACAAGTACTGTATTAACTGTTTAGTCTAAAGAAATTAGTGTACAAATCTAGAAAAATGTATCAAAATATTAATGTCTTATTCCATCTTAACTAACAGACAAGGTTCTACTAGGGGTTCAGTCATTAATGAAACAGTATCTTCTTCCCCACAATTATGTTGTATTTCCATAAAAATCTAGTCATGTATGAGCAGGAGTATGCTGCATCTTTGTGTGTGGACCTCTGAAGCATTTTAGATAGCAGACTGGCTCCCGTGCTGTACAGGAGCTACTCTACAAGCTAGTTGGCATGCAGCCCACATCCTAGCCTACAATCTCATTTAGCAAGGTTCTCTGGCTACTGGTTATTCTGCCAAAAGTTTCTGTATACTGATCTTGTCATCTCTGCCTTGGCTATAAATCCCCCTAAACTTCTACTGCTTGACAGCTGATTTGTTGCAAACATGTTACATAGACAATAAGGTGTTAAGTTTTTGTCTGACCGATGTCATGCCTTGAACCTTCTCATAACAGAAAGAAAACTGGGTAAATTCAAAGTTTATTTCCTCTGTATGGTGGCACACTACGGACAACAGACTTTTCTGTGTGTGTTTTATGGGGAGAAGGTGAGGGGGATTACTTAAATTTTATACCTATGCAAAAATCTGACATCCTTATTCAGTCTGTATCTTATTGTAGCTGCTCTTTTTTCAATTTACTGGGAACAATTTATATTGAGAAGTATGAAGATGCTCTAGTATCAGCATGACACAATAGAATGAGGGATTCTGATGGCTTATACCAAACCTATGCATAACAACAGTGAAATAACAGTAGCTAGAACAATAAAGCAAGGATTGAATGCTATTCTCCTAGTGATGAACACCAAGGATTTGTTTAAATAAATACAAGCCTCCCCTCTCCAGAGAAAAATGAGGGAACAGTGTTCCATAAGGATGCCCTTCTGTAGGTACTGCAAAATTGCATATAAGCATAATGGTACTGTCCACAGCTTGTGCTGATGGACATGTAACAGTCTGCATCCATGCTGGGAGAGGAGGCAGCACTTTTCCCAGTATGGATCCAGAGGCACATGCCATGTATGACATCTTAATTACTTGATCTTAGAAAAAATGATGCTGCACTCAAAGGTCTAGGTCACGCAAGGGTTGTGAACAGTTAAGCACTGTCTCCTAATCACTTGTCTGGCTGTTGAGGGCTTACTTATAAAAAAGTTTCTCAGAGTTCTACTCCATGCAGTGTTTCTGCATTTTCCTTTTAGGAAAGCCATAGTTTGTAGCTAGGATTTCTCTGAGGCACTTTCTGAAGAGTCCTTGTCATGTACTGCTTGAAATAGTTTGGTCTAGCTCAGAAGAGAACAGATGCATCGCTTGTGGTGGGGTGAGATGATGCTGTGCTTCCCAGCACACCTGCCTCCGGGGACAGAGCACTCCTGGGGTTCATCCAGCTGCCCTGCGCTGTGGGGGGCTGCTACATTCAAGTCCCACCTGTGCTAGAATCATAGAATCATGTTCTCTATTCTGAAATGACTGAGAAACTAGAAGGCCATACCCTACCTGGTGAAGCGT